TAAGATAAGTGTTTCGATCTGTATACACTTGTGTTCAGTTGCTACGCCTATTTTAACTTTTTCGTTTTTGAAAGATTTCCAGATATGGATTTCTTTCAAAGGGTAAGTAGTTCTTTTATAGCGCATTGACTGACCCGCGCAAAGAAGAGCGTCAAGAACGGGTTGGAAGATTATGCCTCCCTCCTTCCTGGGAAGGTCCTTTGCCCTAGAGAGTACTAACTTTTTTTACAGTGAATCTCTCGATGATGGGTACAACTTTTTTGCTTTCACAATCCCAGGTTGTGTAAGCTTGGTATAGTTTTGCATCTTTAATAGTTTTTGGGTCGCTTTGGTATTGACGTCCTCGTCGTGTGGCCTGGGTATTATTTGGTTAATTCTAAATAATAGCTAACAAATACCAATATACTGTACGGTTTATTATGTATTATTATACTAATTGTTTTTTTTTTTTTTGATAATAATTTTTTTATTAGAACATTGTTATCGGTGCCGTGTTATCATCGTTAAATATATTTTTTGATGTTGTTAAAGTTGCTGGTGGTACGATTTTGAGTTTCTGAAGCGATTTCGTTGGTATTGGTATGTAAAGTTTTGTTGCGTTCATTGCATGATTACGCAACTATATTTAATTACATTTATTGAGTTTTTTTTTTTTAGGCATTTTGGTATTCATCAGTACCTTTTTGGCTTTATTTTTGTTTTTGGTATATTTATTATTTCGTTAAGTGCGGTAGTCTTTTTGGCGTTTTTTAAGCGTTGAGCTTTGTTAGCTTTTTTTAATCATTTTGATGGGTCTTGGTATATTTCTAGATATTCTTTTGGTTTTGTTTTTTTTATGCAATGACGTTTCAAACTTTTGTTATAAGTGCACTTACATTTTATTAAATGTTGTTGATAATACGATATTTTTACATGCGATATTAAAAATAAAAACCATGTTTCTTATTAATTTTTTTTAATTATAGTAATGTAGAGGTTTAACTATTTATTAAAAAGTGTATTATGTTCAAATTTGAGTCAGCCAAGAGTTTAAGAGTTGCAAAATAAAAATAGATATTACGGCGGATTTTTGGTTTTTTAAATCCTCTAAATTTAATTAGATTTAGCTGTTAGATTTTAAATACCAGATACACGATCAGATTTTACGAAACCCTAAATCTAATTAAATTAACGTTAAATCAACTTTAGTAATTTTCCAAAATCAGCAGATTTATTTTAAAAAATGATTAATTGAAAAAAACATTTTTTACTAAAATGGTTTTACGAAAGCTTCATTGGTTTTTAGCACGATCTAGTGGGCGTATATGTAGTTCGCCAACATTCATCTACATGTGATTTTAAGCATAAACTACCCCATATCGTCGTAAAAATGTTCCACCACGTGAACAGAAAATGCAGTGATTCCCCATGATTTGGTTTATGATTACGTGAGAAACCTTCATGCTTAACCAATAAAATCGTTCCAAGGGCGCCAGTACATGAATCATGTGACCACATATAAATTTATAAAAAAAATTAAATTGCGACTTTCGACAGGTGATAATCCTCTCTCTCCTGGAAAATCGCACCCTCTGTGAAAGTGTGAAACAAAACAAATCTTTACATATATATATATATAAATAGTAGATATTAATTTCAGTAGTAAGTAGCTAATAACATTAATATCAGAAACTTAAAAAATATTTTCATTAAATATGATTGAATGGATATTCTTTGGACAAAAACGTTATGAAGTTATCATATTACTGTAATTCTATTCGTATCGTTTACACAATAATATTTTTATTGTTTAAATCTTAAAGCTTCAATCCTTTACAGTTATTTCTAAAAACACGAAATGGGTCCCCTTTTTTTTATACAACGATATGAAGATTAAAAAAAAAAATAGGGACCTGTAATACTTTTTCTTTGAGAACAACCGTAATTCTTTATGTTATAATTAATTGAATTTTTTTTTTCGTTTATGTTTAGTACGAATATCAATTAGAATTTTAACAAGATTAATTATTGTGACTCTTGTCGACGATTATGGTTTCGAAATTGCCACCAGAATGTCTCTACAAAATATTTGACGAATTCAGTTATAGCCAAATTGGCAAAGAGAAAAATAGTTTCATTCATCTTCATTCTATCATATTAGTGAATAAATACTGGTGTAATGTTGCCATTCCAATACTTTGGCGTAGAACATTTAATTGGATATATCAGAAAAATAATTATGGGGATAAACATGTTCATCTTATGTCAACTTATATTTCTTGTTTGCCGGAAGAATCTAGGACCAATTTAAACAAGCTCGGGATTAATTCATCGATCATTCAGCCAACATTTCGTTCAAATTTTGACTATCCTTCCTTTTTACAAAGTCTACAATATAAATGGTTATATAATTCTGTAAATAAGTGGTTAGATGTACATGCTTCGACGGACATTATAAGAGGAGATAATGATAATGAAACGAATCTTCATCCAATTTTTGTTGAAGAATTGTGCAAGTTATTTATGAAAAGATGCACAAACTTATTACAGCTATCTTATAATCATCTGGATGATTTTGGCGAATATCCTATATATCCTGTAGTTAATATGCCAAGTTTTGCTGGAGCTTCAGATGCACTGGCGAATCTTCGGCATTTTGATTTTCATGGATGTCTAGATCCAAAAATTTTAAAAAGTGCTGCAAAGATATGCAAATTCGTTAAAGTGCTTTCAATTGCTTGTTGTTGTTACGATAACGAAGGTTTGGCTACGTTTATTGATCAACAAACACATTTAGAAAACCTTTCAATTGAATTTGAGCAAAATGGAATTGATCTTCCTAAAATAAGGAATTCCTTACGTAATAAAGGGAAAGACCTTTCCGCGTTGATGATTAGACAAATTTTTTTTCCATTAGATATACTTGGTCATAGTCCAAATCTCACAGGTTTATTTATAGAAGATGGATGCGATTCGCATAGAGATATTTTTGGTCAATTTGTCAATTGGCAATTTTTTCGACTCACAAATCTTTTCCTTGCGATCAAGAATGTACATATTGGCTCTATCGTTCAATTGATAAATAATACGTGTGGAAATCTCACCACTGTTAGGATTGTGTGGACAAAACCTATTGATAAAGATAATTTTAACCTTTACACCGAAACTATTCTCGTAAGTTGTCCACGCTTGATCGCTTACCATGGATATTTCGATGATAATGAAATTGGAAAAATGCCCGAGTTTTTCGAGAAGCATAAAAATCTAGAAGAATTTCATATCAGTCTATATTCTCTCACACGTTGTGAGATCAGTAATATGTTGAAAAAGCTTGGAAAATATCTGCCACCAAATTTACAAGAAATTTATCTACCGGCAAACTATGTTTACACCACTGAATCTTTGGAATCATTCCTTGAAAGTTGTGCAGCAAAATTGTGTGCTCCTTTGAAACTTACCCTTCGCTGTAGATCCACAATACATGAAGAAATTCTTTCTCGTTATGTGGAACGAAAAATTATCAAGGTAATATTTTATATTATTTTCAATGTTCTTTTGCGTATTATTATTTTCTTCCATCATTACTGATCATGATTAGAACGTTTCTTCAGTTTACATAATATAGGCTTGAGTCATAATTATAATGCGTAGATATTTTTTTGGTGAAAATCATATATTTATTTAAAAAGTTTCAATACTTAATATAAATCATCATGCAATAAGGTAACATTTCATGATGGTGGGTCACAATTGAACAATCTGAAAATATTATTTTACATAGAGAATTTATAATTTTATTATAAGGATTAGAACATAATGGCTCATTTAAAATAGTGCATAATTAGTATTATTAGATTAGACAACAGAATAAATACAATAGAAAATAATAAGGACTATGTTTGAAAAGAAATGGCGGCACGGCACGACACTATGGGATTCTTTAACGATCATTCATAAATTCAACAATGCCTAGTATTGCTATAATCCATCTAAAGTTGGCACTTGTTGTATAAAGCGTTATCGAATAAATCATCATAGTTACTAAAATTCAAATTATCGATTTTCTCTTAAGAATCATTTCACGTGATTTATAAATACGAACACGTGTCATAATCAAATAAAATTTTGCCGCTCAAATTATGGCTTAATTAATGTCAAATAAATCAGGTTCCCTGACACACGTGTAAATGTCATAATTTAACTTAATAGTCAGGGCCCGGAAAAAAAAATTATGAACTTTGTACAAAAGTGGTATGATTTTTTGCTGTCAAAAAATTCTTGAGCTCGCCTGTTATCAGTAAATAATATTACCTGGAATGACATTAAATAATGTAGATCAATAAATTTAAGAGTTAGACCGCCAAATGTACTTTTAAAGGTCAAGTAATTTACCTTCATCGTTATCGCCCATGTACTGTAGTATACAAAAATGTTTAACGCCGTCAAAAAAGATGAATGAACTTTTTTATCTTTGATTGGCGCACATATTTTCCTAACCAAAGATGTCACACAAATACCTGCTAGATTTGTATAAACATATGAATTCATTATTGTCATATGATAAGAATATGTTGTTTTTTAATTCACGACCTCGTTTTATTTCTTTCGTGATTATATTAATCTCATTTTTCATTGGATTTTTTTTCTTGGTTCAACAATTCATTCAACAAGATGATTTTGTAAAAGCTAGCAGTAATTGGTTAAAAGAAAAATTCAGTGTTTATTTACCAGTAAAGAATAAATTGGGTCATGGTAGTTTGACTAAAATTTTGGGTCATCAAGATTTTCCTGATTATCAAATTAGACTAAATGAACCAAAATTATGTGATGCTTCTGTTCAGCAGGTTTATATACTGTATTTAAGTGAATATATTATTATGAATTGTAATAAACTTTATAATCATATTTTGGTTTAGTATTCTGGATATCTTGATGTCAGTAGAAAGAAACATTTCTTCTTTTGGTTCTTTGAATCTAGAAATGACCCAAGAAATGACCCTGTTGTTCTTTGGGCAAGTACCTTATATCGATGTTAGTTATTTTATTCCATGTAAATAAATTAATATTACTGTTACTTTTTATAGCTAAATGGTGGACCAGGGTAAGAGTGCTGGTTGAATTATCATTTATTATTATTATTTCCGTATTTATATCCATTTATCGATTATATTATCTGTTATTTATATCATCCATATGTATTAATAGTTGCTCTTCTCTGTCTGGCTTGTTTTTTGAACTTGGACCTTGCACAGTTAATGAAGATGGAGCCGACACTACTTTCAATCCTTATTCATGGAATTCTAATGCTAGCATAATTTTTTTAGATCAAGTATTGTATCATTATAGACAATAAGTAATTAATGTTTATATATTTAACAATTCATTTAATATTTATCTAGCCTATGAATGTTGGATACTCTCATGGTTCTAAAGTGAGTTCGACCCACGCGGCATCCATTGATGTTTACGCATTTCTGCAAATTTTTTTCCAAGAGTATCCTCAATATGCACACCTGGACTTTCACGTTGCTGGTGAATCGTAAGTGTTCATGGCTATTATTTAAAATAGAATGTATAATCGTTAATGATAATATTATATTATTTATAGATATGCTGGTCATTATATTCCTGCCATAGCTGCTGAAATTAACAATAACAATCAGGGAACTTCACCCTGGATTCTTAACAAAAAACCAAAGTCCCTTTTACATATAAATCTAGAATCCATTTTGATCGGTAATGGTATGGTCGATCCGTTGGTTCAATATAAATATTATCCAGACATGGCTTGCAATTCATCTTACGATCCAGTACTCGATATCTCGACCTGTGACGAAATGCGTGATGCTTATCCAACTTGCGCCGATATGATTAAAAGTTGTTATGATGGTGTCACTGCAACCTGCTTAACTGCTTCAATGTATTGTAACAGGCATATCGTCTTGCCTTATTATTCAACTAGCAGAAATCCTTATGATGTGAGAAAACAATGTGAAGGCGGAGATTTGTGTTATTCAGACATTGGAGTCATTGAACAATATTTAAACAGAGGAAATGTTAGAGAAGAACTGGGTGCTGATCCTTGGATTCAGTATAGAATCTGCAGCTCAAGGGTCAATTTTAGGTTTCATATGAATGGTGATTTGTAAGTTTTGTATGATTTTTTTTAAAGATAAATCACACTTCTTACTGGATGTTAATGTAATCTATTTTGTTAAGAATGAAACCTTTTCATCTTCTACTTCCATCTCTTTTGGAAAATGACATACGTATTTTAATATATGCGGGAGATGCAGATTTCATTTGTAATTGGATTGGTATGTCTAAATTCTCCTTTGAATATTTTACCTTTGTTCTCGTTTAAATAATAATTTCATATCGCAACTATGTACTTCAGGGAACGATGCATGGACAAAAGAATTAGAATGGAGCGGCAAACAAGGTTTCAATGATGCAAAAACTAGACGTTGGAAGTTACAAGGTGATAAATCAATGTATGCAGGTGAATCTAGATCTTACAAGGGACTTACTTTTTTGAGAGTTTTTGAAGCAGGACATATGGTCCCTTATGATCAACCTGGTCCCAGTTTGGATTTCTTAAATAGGTGGTTGTTGAAAAAGCGCTTATAAATACGTTAGGAATAAAGAGAAATAAGGCTTACATCTGATTGTTTGGATTTATTATATTCTTACACACATAAATATAGATATATATTTTAAGATATAACAGAATACCGATGCAACTAATATAACCTCATTTAGCAAAAATTTTTATGTATATTCGTAAAAGGTTGTTATCCGATCTTTCGAAATTTAAATTCAGTGTAATATTCGTTCTTGATAAGAATAAAAGGTTGGTACTAGAAGTCCAACTTTTATTTACCTAATTGACAAAATATTGTACATAATAATACCTGCATTATAATTTATTTTTGATCAACTATTTTGTTGATTAATATTATCCCTTTAATACCCTGCCTTACTATTTATTGTTCATGCCTACCTTGATTATAATTCATATCATGACCGGGAATCTTCCATGGGAAGATTCCCGGTCACAAATAATCACACGAAAATTATAATAAAGGTAGGTATGAATAACTTAATGCAGGGTGTTATTCATGAATTTCCTGTGGAGTTAAAAATTATAACAGATATGAAATCAGGTCAGGGACGATGATTTTCTGCGTTCATGTAATTGGTTTAGATCAATTTTAAATCTTGGCCTGGATTTAGGATCTAAAGTCATCATAATGCTAGCTGACATTAATTTGGCCAGAATTTGTGGATTATAATGCTGGCCGACTTTACGTAATTCTGGCCAATTGCAGAACTTTTGCAGAATTATCTTTTATCACGACATTTTACCATGGCAGAAAATAATCGTCCCTGGATTAGGGTTGGAGCACGGGTAAAAAATCGGCATGCCTCAATAGGCATGACTTGGCATATCAATATCTTAGAAAAAAATCTATAATTAAATACAACTCTAAAATTTTTAAAACATATTTGAGATCTTGTATAGTACCCAAATACTATACATACTGTATTATAGTGTTGTCAATTGGATAGTTTTGGTTTTGAACACAGTGTCCAAAACATGTTCAAAACCGTTCAAAACCAAAACCAAATTTAATTGGTTTTGGACAAATATATATATAAATATATAAAAATTAAAAATACAGTCAACTCTGCATATAACGAACCCTGAGGGTCTATATGTAAAAGTTTTTAAAAAGTTCTTTATGGAGAATTTACTATGTTTTTATACCGAACTCTATAAAAATTTGCTAAAAAAAAGTTTGTTATAAAAAGGTTCGCTATATCCAGAGTCGACTGTATTAATTTAATATATATATTTATTTAAATATTAAATAAATATAAAAGTAATAACATATTAAATAATAAATAGCTACATGTTGTATTATTATGCCAAATTAAAAATAAATAAATATAGTAACAAATTTAGAATAATAATACTTATATTTTTTTTGCAAATTACTTAAATAATTATTGTCGCAGCTGATGCTGAAAACGGCTCATACTGAAATTTGGGGTCTCTATTTAAATCTATAATACCTACTAAAATCCACATATACTTTTTTATTATTAATAAAACTACCCTACTAACCCTAACCTAACTATGAAAAAAAAGTGTACAAAAAAGACCCTAAAATTTTTTATAAATTCATAATAAAATATGAAAAAATTTCAGTATCAGCTGCGACAATTATTTAACTAGTCTTTAACCCGGTGCGTAGCATCGGACTTTAACATTAAACTTAATATAATATTTAATTTTTATATAGTCTTTAACTTGGTGTATAGTACTGGGCTTTAATGTTATTAAATAATAAACTTAATATAATTTTTATTTTATAGAAAATTACTATATATCGCCAGTGGTGATCATCACCAATTCTAGGGTTAGAGTTAAGAATTAGAGAAGGTTTTTTTTTTATAATATAATATAAATTGAATATAAGATCCCAATTTTATTTTTATAAAGTTTTCAGAGGTCCTGAACATTTTTACTTAGAATACCCGATCCTATTTACTTAGTACATTATTGAGATATAGCAACACTGGTGATAATTACTAGTGGTGATAAATAGCAAACTTGAAAAAAATTATAACTAAAGATTAATATATAGTATTTGTAGTTAATTTTTATTTATTAACTTAACTAAATTAATATTTAAAATTTGGCTTAGCTAGCTAAATTAAAGTTAATTAATATTTTTTATTTTTAGAATTTATTGAAAATTTTCAAATTTTGTTATAACCTTGTTTATATTTTATATTCATTAATTTTTTTTTTAAATTTTTTAGCTTTTAAATATTAAAAGAAAAAATATATTAAATCTGATTTGTACTTTAATATAATCTAATTTAAAATTAATTAAATTAATTTTTTAAAAAAATTAGCCAATAAAATAGCTAAGTTAATAAAAATTGGCTATATAAAATTATCCATAAATACTATTAATATAAATTTAATTATTATAGTAAACCAATTTATTAATAGTTACTATTTTAATTTATTAATCTAAACATGTTTATAAACTTTTAAACAAATCTAAGCTAAACTTAAACTAGCTCTAAAAGTTTAATATTAAACTATATTTTTAAAAAAAGTTTAGTTTAAATTTGGTTCAATATTTTGACTAAATCTATACTTAGCTTAAAGTTTGATTTAATTTTTTAAAAATTTTAAACCTGATTATAATTAATTACAAGCAGTTAATCAATTATAATTAAAGATAAAGAGTATTATATGATGATTATTTGATTTGTTGTTAGAAAAATTTTTAGGTAATACAAAATTTACCTATATAGTTTAATATAGATAATCAAGTTTACTAAAATACACCTATGGTGTTCAATATTATAGATTCCTATTTCTCAAAAATGTACTAAGTAAATAGAATTGAGTATTCTAAGTAAAAATGATTAGAATCCCCAAAAACTTTATAAAAACTAAAATTAAAACCTAATATCTAATCTATATTAATAATATATAAAAAAAAAATTATTAAAAAATGCACCCTAACCTTATTAAAAACAATTATATATGGTGCTAAACACCATAGATACATTTTATAATAATTTTAAATAATATATAAACACAATTAATATGCTATTATAAAATAATCTACTATATGATTATTATGAAAAGTAATCTGTGTACCCTCTACTTTTAATTAATTTTATTGCAAGAATTTAAAATTTTCTAATATTTAATTTTTAGAAATACTAAACCAACCTTACTAGGCTATTGATTTAAAAGTTTGAAAAAACAAAGAAGAGTCATAAAATAAATAAAAAGTAAGTATTAGAACTTTACAAAGACAAAAAAAAGTAGATAATAGTAAAAATAACTCTTAAGTATATAGATTAAGCTAATAATATAAATTACTAAAAACTATATAGGTAAATATACATGTAAGATAATACCACTCTAGCAGATTTATCTCAAGAATAAAATACTGTAATTCTAAAACAGAATACAAATTCAAAATCTATTCAATTTAGTAAGAGTTAGAAAAGTAATTATTATATATAGTTAAAATCAGAAAGTTTAAATAAATAATCTCCTAGTTAGGCTACAAGTATAGCAGCTAGTATAAAATCTTCAAGCAGACTATTTAAATTAAACAACTAAAAGTTGTATATATATCTAGTTGTAATATGCGACCTAATAAAAGTCTCTCTAACTAAAAAGGTTATTTTAACACCAAAAAAAAAAAAAAAAATCAATATTATTTTATAATAACTTTTTGTCCCGAATACCTGAATACCCTATTAGTTTAGAATATTGATTTCCAACTATATATATATATATATATATATATATATATATATATAATTATATATTATATATATCTATATTCTAAACAATTACTCGCCTAGTTTATCATTAAATAAAGATATTTATATAGCTAGAAATCGATTTTCGATCAAGTTCTAAGTTAATCGGGTGTTCGGGTATTCGCAAAAAAAAAAAAATTCTTTTTGAAAAAACTGCTATTTCAACCATTTCGAAAACAGCGATAATTTATTTATTGCTTAACAAAAAATTCAATATCTAGTAATAATTTATTTTACTTTATTAAAAAGTAGCTTGTAAATAATATTATAAACCCTAGTAAACTAGCATCTCATAAGTACTTTAAAATACTGTATTTTCTGTTATATATAGTACATGACCCTCTTTTATATACCAATTTTTTTTTTTTTTGCATTGATATTTTATATTCATATTCTTTATGCAATGAAATGTTTGCTATAATTTTTAACATAAATCTTAAAAAGAACATAAACAATATTCTTTAAAAAAATTTGACCTATGTTTGATCTTGTAGATTGACATTTTTCATTTGATCCACTTTATTACCACAAAATGATGATTCGCCAATAATTGAAGAAGGTTGTTGCTTACTTTTAATTCGTACAATTAACCCATCTTTATCTCTTATAGCTTGTGTTGATGATATTTCAGGTGATAATGAAGCTTTGGACTATTTGATCGAATAATTGGTGTGTTAAAAGTAGAAAATATTAGATAACATGTCAATATAAAGGTTATTAAATTTGAATGAATATTAAATAAATAAAAAAAATATAATAGTTTACCCAATTTGATTGTCTCTCTACAAGCTCAGAGCATTTTCTTACATTTTCATTTGTGAGAAACCATTTTTCTTCCTCTTCTTCGTTCAAATCATCCCCATCCAGATAATATTTAAACTTTAATGATGACCATTCCGAACCCTCATCAAATTTTCTTAATAAAATCACAACATTATTATTGGATATTGAAAAAGAATTATTAATAGAACTTGTTTTTGGGTGGTATATTTCAATAATTAGGGCTTTTTGGTTGGTGATATTGGATAATGTTGGAGAATTGGTTTCTTTGATTATTGTCTGGAAGAATGATGTTAACAAGAGCAGATGTTTTACAAAATAAGTGATAGATTCAATTAATTAATACGTACACGTTCTGGTTCAAAAATTATGTCAAGATTAGAATGATTATTAAGTTGAAAATGATCGTAAATTAGGGTAACATAAGCGTAATTTTGAAAATAATTGAAACATTGTGAATGGCGAATAAATGTTTTCAAAGACTGCATATCTACCGTTACAAAAAAATTATAATGGAAATTTTATATGGTTAAGATTGTGGTACAAGGGTTTTATCAGGTAACTATATTAGATTTTCCTATGAATGCCAATCACTCGAATAGCCATGTCACCTAATGAAACTCGATCTTTGATTTCTCTTTCCCTAACGAATGTAGAGTTTGATTCATCCGATCCTATTGCTTATGCTTTTGCATATATAACCTTATCTCCTTTGGCTATTTTGGTTGCATATACTACTACCATTATCGTTCGAAGAGAGGTGGTTTCAATCAATATGTTTATTGGTCAACTCGCTTGCGAAATTTTGAACGCTGTGTTGAAGAAATGGTTAAAGGAGAAAAGGCCTATTGGTATTCTGAAAACATAGTCTTTATGAAAAATTTTTATTTTTTGAATTAAATGCGAAAACTGAATATAAATGATCAACTCGATAGATAAACTTGGGGATGGATACGGAATGCCCTCTTCACATGCCCAATTCATTGCTTATTTCACAACTTTTTCGATTTTGTACTTGTATACTAGGTATTTATGATTAAGCCAGTTACTTTCTTCCCTTTGTATTATTTTATAAACCATTTTTATTTCTTAGGATTACTTTCAGTCGAAATTTATGGAAATTTCCAATAACTTTAAGCTTGATAATACTATTGATCTCCGTTTCTTACTCTAGGTATTGTCTTAAATTTTTATTTCTTCAATGATAAGTTAACTTTTCTAACAACTGCTTTTCGCAGAATCTACCTTAACTACCATACATCAAAACAAGTTTTAGTTGGCAACATTTTTGGTGCGAGTTTCGCTTTGATATGGTTCATTCTAACAGAATATATTTTACGCTCTTTTGGTGTGTTCAAATTGATTGTTGAATCTTCTCTTGCAAAATTCTTTTACTTGCGAGACTGTTCATATATTCCGAATATTATAAAAATTGAATATATGAATTGGGAAGCTCTCTCATCTAAACAGAAAAAGAAATAAGCGATCAAAATTTTTGTAATAATTGTAGAAATTTATTAAAATTCTAAATTAACAGGTTTTATCGAAAAAGCAATATAGCTATAATTTATCTAAATAACGGAAAAAAATTTCATAACTTATTAATATAACTCTTTCATTATCTTGTATAATTAATTATATACTTGTGCAAATTATATGACATATTCTCCGGCTAGCATAGACTTAATCCGGGTGAATAGAAAAGACAATAAATTCCTGGCATTTGATTTGAGCGATCTGAAAAGATAATCTACGATTTTCCTATTAATGATTTTCATAACAAATTTTTTTTTTCGGTATTAAAGGTGACCTCTTTGGCCTTAACTTTTTTTAGAAGTTAAATTTCAGTTACAACGAGGGTACAACTGCCACACGTACAACTTTTGTTTATCTATTTAAGTAGTCCGCCCAGGGTTTTACACTAGCCACCATACCTGCAATCTAACTAGGAGATTACCTATTTAAACCCTCTAGTTTTTTTTTACAAACAAGGGTATGACCAGCCACATATACAACTTTTGGTTGCCTATTTAAGTAGTCCGCCCTAGGTTTTATACTAGCTGCCATACCTGCAACCCAAAATATTTTATTTTTTAAAACTTATTTTAGATAAAAAATATTATTTATAAAATATCACTACATAAAATACCAGATTTTATTTAAAAACTTTACTTTTTAAATTGTAGATATTAGGATTGTATAAATTTTATAAGAACTAGTTAACTATAATAAAAACATTTTAATTAGTTAATACAGCCAGACCCTCCTAAATTAGGGTTGGAGGCATGGAGGTTGGAGGCATGTCCCATGAGGCATGCTCTTGGGGCATGCCTAGGTGCATGCTCTTTAACCAAAAGGCATGTTTCTATCATGTGATTTATAGCTAACATATGATTGGTTATTTTAGTGATTAACCAATTAGAATACAAATATCTTATTATAGTATATACTTTTATTATCCATATTATTTCTTATTAACAATCATTCACTGACAAGTTTATTTTACTAACAGTCTAGTTACTAAAGCTTATTTCACTAACAAGTTTTTTTTTATAACCCTAATAATATTACCAGAATTACTTTGTCTGTAAAATAAGCTTCAATGAAATAAACTATCAGTAAAATAAACTTGTTGATAATTGTTAGTGAGTTGATCAGATCCTCTTTTATATCTAGAAGAGCATACTCAGGGTATAGAGAGACATGCCTTTCACAAAGACATGCCCTCTAAAGCATGCTTTGAAAATTTGCCATGTTTTTAACCCTACCCTATATATACTCTTCCTAAATACAACACTTTTCTAAATGTATGATATAAGCCCAGGTCCATAGTAGAACTTAAAATATATTTTTTATTCTGTAAGTACATACTAATAACTGTTTGGCCTATTTATAAAAACTCTCTTCATAAATATATTTATGTGATTACTAGCCAATTAAATTTATTATTTTAAGTTTATTAATAATATTGTGATTTTATTGGTGTTTTCTAATTGCAGCTTTTCTTAAATACATACTTTAAAAATAGTCCTAACAATATATATTTAAGAAGGTCTGACTGTATATATTATATTATTATAAAACTAAGTTTATAAAATACAAAAAATACTATATAACACTAGTAAATTATAGTATATTTAGTAATCAAAATATAGTATAACCTGTCAAAACTAATATGCATGGTGAACCAAATTTATATTAGTTTTAACAGGTTATCAGGTTTGAAGAATAAAATTTCTATATTTAATTAAGAGATAGTAGATTAATTTTTTATTAGTTTTGACAATATTGGTTTTGATAGATTATACTATACTATAGTTTTATTAACTCTTCCCACTAATCACTGTAACCAAATCACTCTTTCCGACGATCTCTCGTACCAAAATCACAACAAACCTTTTTTCCAAAAAAACAGTAAACCATGGAAGCAAAGAGTGGCAGAAGACTGATAAAAACCATAAACCGGCATCTGTTATTTAGAGATAGTTCTCATACGCT